GGGGTGGGGGGGCGACGGGGACGACGGAGCTAGGTGCCGGGGGACTCGCTGCCAAGCTGCTCCTGCCCGTCCCAGACCTCGTCTGCGTCTTTTGTTTTTCAACATATTTTGTTATTTTTATTTTATGTGTATAAGTGTATCGCTTATATGCATGCAAGTGCACCCATGTCGTGCAATGCCCTCGGAGGACAGGAGAACGTCGGATCCCCTGCAACTGGAGTCTTGTGGGTGCTGGGACTCGAACCTGGGTTTTCTGCAAGAGCAGCCAAGTGGTCTTGGCCACTGAGCCATCTCTCCAGACCCCGCGTCTTGTTTTTGCCTCATATTTATGTACTTATTTTTTTCCTCGAGTGTTTTGCACAACCTCTGAACATTTCTTTTTCCTTTCCAGGACTCAGGACTCCATGTACTAAGTCTCAGAGGCGGTCCCAGCGGAAATCAGGCTCAGATCTCCCGAACATCTTTCCTGAAATCTGGCCGAAGGTGAACCCCTGAGTTTCCTCAATTACTGCCCCAGAGGCCCCGGAACTAACGAAGGTAAAGCTCATGATCACCTCTCTCTTTCCAGACACCTCATGTGGCTCCTGTCAGAAAGCCAATCGTCTTGAAGAAGATAGTGGCTCATGCTGTAGAGGTAAGGACTGAGAGGTAGGGGTGGGTCGAGTTGGGAGTGAGAGGTCAAAACTGGGGACTTCTCTGTGCTATTTATTGATCAGTTGATGTTATCCCTTGCAGATCCCATCTGTCCGCTCCCTTCGCAGGAGTCCCAGGGTGAGTTCAATTCTATCTACTTAGCTGTGTGGGATCCACATCACTCTAGAGCTGGGTAGGGGTGGGTGGGTCTGCTACCCAGGCCACTCATTCACAGTATTCTGAAACAGTTTACCTTTGGACATCCTCATGAACTGCCAGTCTTGACTGACGACTCCCACAGGCCTCATTTATTTTTAGATCTTTATGTCCTAAACATTTCTGTTATTTGCCTTGAAAAGCTGAGTTGTGTTCTAACCACTGCTCTTACTTATAATCCATTTGTCCTTGGCTTTTATTTTTGGTTGTTTTAAGGTGAACTATGTGTATGGTGCCTTAAAGATTTATTTTTATTCTCGTGTGTGCGTGAAGGCAGAGTCCCGAAAAGGACATTGGCTCTCCAGGAGCTGGAATTACAGGTGGTTGTGAGCCACCTGATGTAGGTGCTGGGAAACAAATTCTCTATTAACGATTTTTGTTGTTGAGTTTGGCCTTTTACATGAATGTCTTGTTTGCTTTGTCTTGTGAGACAGGGTCTCATGTAGCCAAAGCTGGTCTTGAACCCCTAATCCTTTTGCTGCAACCTCCCAAGTGCTGGAATCCAAGAGTATACTACCACACCTATTTCTTTTGTTGTTTCGTATTTTTGAGACAGGGGCTCCCTATACCCCCAGTTGGTCTTGAACTTGCAGAGATCCTGACTGCCTCTGCCTGCCGAGTGCTGGGATTAAAGGCATGTACCACCATGCCCAGCTGTTTTATTTTTTTGTTTTTTTTTAGTAAGGTTTTGCTGTGTTGCTCTGGCTGGACCATACTCAATATGTAGCCTAGGGTGGGCTTGACCTCAGGCTCAGATTCCAGGTGTGAGCCATTATGCCCAGGTTTTTGTTTGTTTGGGTTTGGTTTTGTGGTTGGTTGGTTTTTGATTGTCTCTGATTTTATGTGTATGAGTGTTTTCCTGCATGTATATAATACCACATACGTGCAGTGTCTGTGGAGGCCAGAAGAGGGCTGTGGATCCCCTGGAACTGGAGTTCCAGTTATTAGCTGTCAGGTAGGTGCTGGAATATGTGAAGGCAGCCCTGAGGTCCCAAAACCTAGAACCTGAGGTAAGGTGGTGAGGGCCTAAGGTAATGACAGGATAAGTGTCCTTTCACACAGGACTGGGCTCAAAGGGAATGTCATCCCAGAGGTCTCCCCTGCTTAACCCCGTTGTTCCCACGTATCTCTGTGGAAGTCTCTAGATGCTGTCAACATGTGGTAATTACTTGTTATGTTTGTCTTTCTCTCGCTCTGTGAACATAAGTGCCTTAGGGGCAGGGACTTCTGCCTCTCCCACTAGTAGCCATTCATCTTACACTGTAAGCCCTAACCCCAGCCCTTACCTCTGCATCTCATCTTCGGTCCCCTCTCCTTCCTGTCCTTCAGCCACACTGGCCTTTTGTTCCTCAACCCTGACTGGCCCTCTTTGCCCTCAGGGCTTTTGTATCTTCTGTTCCCACTGCCTAGAACATTGTTCCTACAGGTGTCCATACAACTCTCCCTCTTGCCAGGCGTGGTGGTGCTCACCTAAAACAACTCTCCCTCTCACCAGGCATGGTGGCGCTCGCCTTTAATCCCAGCACTTGGGAGGCAGAGGCAGGCGGATCTCTGTGCTTAAGGCCAGCCTGGTGTCTACCTAGTGAGTTCCAGGTCAGCTGGGGCTACCGGGAGACCGTCTTAAAAAGACCAAAAACAAACCAAAAAACCCCAACTCTCCCTCTCAATACCTTTAAACTGTAGCTTGTTTCCTCATAGTGAGACCTATCCTCTGGTCTGTTCTGCTTTTTTTCTGGTTTTCCTATTTTAGTACTAGAATGGAAGTGCCTAGGTGCCAGTGGCCTTTGTTTCCTTGTGGTATGTTCCCAGTGCCTAGTCCTCCCTGGTATAGGGTTCTCGTGCCTAGTATTCCCTGGCAGTGGACAGGTAACCACTAGACACTTACTGACCTTTTGTTTCCTTGTGTGTTTCCGGTGCCTAATACTCCCTGGCCTAGGACCAGTAACCAGTGGATACTTATTGACTGAGTGGACAATTTAGAAAAATCAGCTGTGGCAGAACAGTTGTAAAGGATGGGGCTGGAGCAGGCAGAGCAATCAGGAAGCCAGCATGCCAGTTTAGAGATGTGTTGGAACTCGGGGTGGTGGCACGTGCCTTTAATCCCAGCGTTTGGGACACAAAGGCCAGCCAGTCTCTTGAGACTGAGGCCAGCTGGGGCTACCGGGAGACCCTGTCTCAAAAGACCCCCACAAAATGAGAAGGTGTGTTGGGACCTTATCTCAGCTAACAAGGTGCTCAGCACCCTTAAAAACAGCAACAGCAGATGTAGCAAATCTTTTGTCACAAAAGCGACTCCTCAGGAACAGGGTTAGATTGTCCTCCCTTTTCATCCTCCCTTCCTATCCCTCCAGTAGTGGGATGGAACCCTGGTCCTTGTGCATGCAAGGCAAGTACTATATTACAGAGCTATAGCCCCAGTCCAGGACAAAAGACTTTAAGATGCTGGGGATCTGGGTCAGCAGTACAGGGCTTGCCCAGCATGCACAGAGCCATGGGTTTCATCTCCAGCACCACAAGATAAACAACAACAAATATCCTAAGTGTTTACCCTGTGGGCATTCTTTCCATCCTGAATCTCCTTTGGGAGGATGAGTTGTGCAAGCAGGTGACAGGGGTTCTCTTTCCTGTCCTGATGAGCAGATTTCCTTTATCTTGGAAAAAGAAAACAACCCTCCTCTGAAGGAGCCCACCAAGAAGGACCTCTTCAAGACTTGCAGTGTCCCCTGCACCCCCACCCCCACACCTGTGCCGTACAACCTGAACGTGGAATCTAACTCTGGGGAAGAAGTGCTGGATACTAGAGACTTGGAAATGTCTAAGAAAGTCAGGCGATCATATAGCCGGCTAGAGATCCTTGGTTCTACCTCTACCCCTGGCCATCGATCCTTCTTTGGCTTTGAGGGGCTGGAAGACTTGCCTGGAGTCTCACCTGTGGTGTGTTCAAAGTTAACTGAGATCCCCAAGGTTCCTGCAAAGCCCTGGGCTCCAGACACGACACTCCCTGGAATCTCTCCCCCAGTTGTGAAAGAGAAACGAAAGAAGAAGAAAGTGCCTGAGATCTTGGTGAGTGAGGGGCAGGGCCTCCTGTAGTTGCACCCCTCATGCAGGACATGCACGGGGGCCGGGGCTCAGCTCTTGCTCTTGGGGGAACAGCAAGCTTGCAGGGTATGGGTGATGCTCTGGCCAGGATAGCCACTTTCCCCACTCAACTACCCCATTTCTTCCCCCAGAAATCGGAGCTGGATGAGTGGGCTGCAGCCATGAATGCTGAGTTTGAAGCTGCTGAGCAATTTGATCTTCTGATTGAATGAGATGGAGTTGGGGCGCCACTGGCCAGCCCCCCCATGTACTGCCCTTTGAGTGCACCAAGACACTTGGGGTCCTCTTTACTGTCCTTGTTACCCAGAGAGGTGTTGCTGGCCCCATGTTATATATAGAGTAGTCACTCTTGTCTTTGTATCTCCCAGAGTGTTGGAGGTGAGAGGCTACTTCTGTTCTGAACCAGCCCTGGCAGACACAGGAGCCGCACGATATGTTTAGCTTTGGCTGGCCCTCTGGGGTTGTCTTCTCTTGGTGGCTTGGAGCCATGATTGGGTTTCTGATCATAAGCATCTGCTACTCCAGAACTAGAACTGTGTTACACGTCTGTAGTCTGCTGTTGACACATTGGTGAATGGGACACTGCTAGTTGGGGCAAAGTGGGCACATTTCATGAGGATGTGCCCACCTGGAGTCTCGCAGTCTCCGTACCTCACCTGCACAGGGGCAGGGAGTGAACCCTCTTGTCACCTACATTCATTGCTTTCAGCATGAGCTCCTTGGCCCTACGTGGGTTGAAACCATTCTTATAAAGTTCTAGGTAGTTTTTCTTCACGTGCCAGAAACCTTAAGGGGTTGGTGGCTGTTTTCACTGTTAGCTTGGCTGTTACACTGGCATGAGACCACTCCCAAGGGAGGTCCTGGGAGCTGAACTGATGGGGCATGTCTTCATCTCTGGGGAATTGCCCCCTTTTCCTTTCCTCAATTGTGGGACAAGTTGAGGCTTTAAAGACTGCTCTGTCCACCACCACTGCTGCCATACCCAGGCCATTGGACTTCTGTGCTTACAAGTTGATAGGGATAGCGGCTGAGAAGCGTGAGCAGGGGCTGGTAGAAAATGAACCAGGGAGCTGAGCGCTTCATTGGGGTATTGGAGTTTGCCAGGCTGATGGGCATGAATGAAGACAAGGCCTGGGAGGCCCAGGCTGTCTGTGCAATCCTTGAGCTGTCAACCCTACAAGCAAGCCCCCTGGTATGCCCAGATAGTTTTGAATGGAGCACACCAGAACTGGTCCTCACTGGTGCCTGCAGAATCAGGAGCTGCGAGATGAGTTGATGTCATCACCGCACAACTCTGTCCTCGATGAACAAGCAGAGCAGCCTAAGGGGAAGCTGGTTTTATTTCAAATAAACTTGATTACAAGAGTTGTGACCGGTTCCTAGACTGCTTTTTATCAGATCAAAACCAGCCACAGGTGTGAGGCCCTGGGTGCTGTATCTGTTCTGAGCTGTCCTTTTCTACAGCTGCCAGCCTGGCCTGCTAGTGGCCCCGTAGTGCCTGTCCCTTCAAGGTGGGACTCCCTGGAATGAAGGCTTAAATGGCATCTGGGTAAAGCTGCTGTGCACTCCCAGGGAGGGTGGAGTCAGTCACCCTCCAGCCCTGTTCCCGGTGCCAATAAAAAGCCTGTGGCCTGCACACAGCAGCCTCTCCTGGCTGTTACCCAGCAGAGGGGGCTGTGGACACCCCTCGGGGCCAGACCCAGGACGCCGGTTCCAACCAGCATGCTTTCCATCCCATCTGCTTCTGTCCTCGTGTCATCCAGAAGCCTAAGCCATTAGATTCTTCTAGAGCTTTCCACTTTGCCTTCCTGCTGTTCAGCAGAGCCAGGCTGCCTCTTGAAGACCCACCTTTCCACTGATTCTCCAAGTCCTAAACCACTTAACATTTGAAGACCCCATCCTGAAAAGCTTGACCACCTGTTAGCTAGTGCGGCTGTTCTTTTAAGGCGAAGCTTGAAAAGTATTCTTGTTCCTTGCTTGCTTTTAGTTACTCTGGCCTCATTCATTCTTCTTGGACACGGTAACCATTGTCTTAAAGATCAATGCACAGGGGAGCTGGAGAGATGGCTCAGTGGTTAAGAGCACAGGTTGTTCTTGCAGACCTGGGTTTAAATCCCGGCACCACATGGCAGCTAACAACTGTAACTCCAGTTCAAGGGGATCCATCATCTGTCCTCCTCAGGGATTGCACAACATGGGTGCACTTACACTCATGCAGGCAATACACACACATGAAAAAAGGCAGGTGGGTCTCTGTGAGTTCCAGGCCAGCTACAGCTACAGGAAGACCCTGTCTCAAAAAAAAAAAAAAAAAAAAAAGATCAATGCACAGGGTGGCTCCCCACACAGCTTCCTGCCTCTGAGACGGGTCCACTGCCCTCACTGGAGGCTTTGACCCAAGCCCAGATGGTCTGGGCATCTGGTCCTAGACTGAATGGACTTCCCACTTCCACCTCATGACTCACCTCAAACTTGTATATAGCCGAAGATGATCTTAAACTAATTCTCCTGTCTCTACTTCAAAGTGCTGAGATTACAGATGTGTACTGCCAAGCCTGGCTATGGCTGACAAGTTGTTACACTCCCTGACACCATCTTGACCCCCAGGGCAGGGCAATGGGGTCAAGTCTGGGATCCTGTCAAGAAGGCCCTCTGAAGCCAGGCATGGTAAGCACGCCTTCGGTCCCAGCACTCAGGAGGCAGAGGCAGGTGGATCTCTGTGAGATCAAGGCCAGCCTGGTCTACATAGCAAGTTCCAGGCCAACTGGGACTACAGGGAGACCCTGTCTAAAAACAAAACAGAAGGACCTCCGTTGGTCTGCATGAGGAAAAGGAGGTAGGTTTGAAAACAAGGTACCAGTCAGGTGTGATGTTATACCTTCCCAGCACTTAGGAGGTACAGGCAGAAGGATCAGGAGTTCTATGTGCCATGCTGGACTACAAAGCGAATTCAAGGCCAGCCTGGACTACCTGAGACCTTTTTTAGGATGAGTATATTGCCTGCATTGTTTAGAATGGATTTATGTACTAAAATTATTCAGGGCCAGGCATCATGGTGGCTCACACCTTTAATCCCAGGATTTGGGAGGCAGAGGCAGGGGGATCTTTGTGAGTTTGAAGACAGCCTGGTCTACATAGTTCCAGGCCAGCTGGGTCTACAGGAACACCCCGTCTCAAAAAGACCAAAAAATCCCCAAAAAAACAAAATAAGAAAAGAACACCAAACTGGATGTATTAATTACCTTCTCCTAGCTGTGACATAAACTGATAAAAGCAATTTAAGGAGGACGGGGTTTTTCTGGCTCACAGTTTGAGGATGCAGCCCATCGTGGCTGGAGGTCACAGCAACAGGAGCATGAGTCAGCTGGTCACTTGCATCTGCAGCCATCACATGGATGAGTGCTGGTGCTCCACCCTCTTTCTCCAAGACCCCAGGGCATGGCATGGAGCCACCCACACTAGGGTGGGTTTTCCCAACTCAGTTTACCCAACCTTGAAACTCCCTCACAGATGTGCCAGGAATTTTGTCGCCTAGGTGATTCTAGATTGCCAAGGTGACGGTATTTACTGTCACACTGTATTGTATTTGCTGCTGGCTTTACCACCTGGGCTGTGCTATGAGCTATGGCCAGACGACACTAGCACTGAGGCCTCTGGCTTGCTGGACAGAGCTGGTAATGGAAGCTCCCTAGACGAAATATTACCCAAGAGAACCAGAGTTGTTAGAGATGGCAAGCAAATGGGATGTGGAAGGTGAATCACCAGCCAGGCCTCTATCTCCCTCAGTCTTCCACGGGCAGTCAAAGCACCTACTCCAAGCAGGTCTTGAAAACAGCCATGGAGCCTACTGAGCCACTGAAGGAAGAATCTGAGGTCTCCGAGGACTCCAATATGGAGATGACAGTAAGCCCAGGGTGTCCCACCCCCAGGCAGAAGGCAAGGGAGATAGGAGGACTGCAGAAATTCTCCCTGGGCCTGGGCAGAGGCCTGGACTCCTGGTCCTCACACTCCTTCCTCCAGCTGCCGGGAGTTTGGGCCCAGCTCCTGGGTTCTTCCCCAGCCGGAGGGTCTCTGGGATAACTTTCATCCCCCTGCCCCTCCCACCACTTCCCCCCACAAGCTGACAGGTGCAGAGATATGGCAGAGGCAGGAAGGTGAGGGAAGACCTGGGCTATGGCACTTTAGTCACCAAGGCACCTTCTCTGCAAAGCCGTCTTCCTCAGAGCCGAGGATGAACATGCAGTTGGAACCCACTGTGTCATTCCTGTTCACACTCCTGAATACTCCTGAACCCAAAGATGCCGAATTGTAAGGCTGTGGAGGGTTATATGTCTATGTGTTTGTATGACTTGAGGGTGGTAGAGGGTGCCCCTACCCCCCAGGCCCATTCCAACCTGGGCCAGGGCTCAGCCTTGAGCTCAGCAGGAAGGCCCAGACAGGACTGAAGGAACTGGGCCTCAAGCTGGGCACTCCCATCTTCTAGACCCTGTGTTCTGACTCCTGCTGTTAACCTGTCCAGGGACTCTGATATCCAAGAGAGGCAGTTCCTCGATAAAGAAGACTGGGGCCCCATGAGGACCTCAGCGGAGATGCAGCTCTTGCAGAAGGACTGCAGGAGGTGAGCTGAGTATGGCAGGTGGGGGCAAGTTTGGATGACAGGATGTCCCCCCACTGAAGCCAGACCTGGTTCTGAGGTGAGGTCATGGGCCGAGCTGTGACTTGAAACACTGGCTTGCCCTGCATCCCCTCCCTGTCCTCTCCACCCCGGATGACCTCCCTTGCCTGCAGGGCCCTCATCTCCTAAGCAGCAGTGACTTGTCCCACAGATTGGGGATCACAGCCGTGGCTGAGTGGCAGGAGTCCAGTAGCTGTGTGTTGAGGGTCCTCTCCTTTAACTGTTAAAGAACTAGACAGGAAGCCATCTGTGGGGTGGGGTTCTATCCATTCTGTGATGTCAGCCTTCAGAGCTTGGGGTCTGCTTGATTTCATCTGGTGACAGAGGTCCTGGGATTGGGCTGATGCTTCTCCCCAGAGCTCCACACTCATGACCACAGATCTGAACAACTGAAACTTGTATCACACACTGCTGGAGCTGAGCCCTCAGGCAGGGCTGGTTCATGGTAGACCCTCTCGCCAACCTGGAGCCACACAGAATCCTGTCCCCACCCTGATGGAGTTCACAGGAGTGGCCAGCCTTCTGCCACCTGCTCTGCTCCATGTGGACCTCAGAGGAGCTCTAGCCCAGCCCCTGTGATAAAGCAGCTTCCATCTCTTGCTAAAGAACAGAAGAGCTGGGCGTGGTAGTGCCGCCTGCAATACTAGCACTGGAAAGTTGTGCTGGGTAGCTTTAGTGTCAACTTGACACACCTGGGTTGAGGGAGCCTCAATCAGGGAATTGCCTCTATTGGACTGGCCTGTGGCCATGTCTGAGGGCATCTTCTTGATGAGTGAAGTGGGAGGGCCCAGCCCACTGTGGGTGGTACCACCCCTGGGCAGGTGGGCCTGTGTTGCATAAGAAAGCAGGCTGAGCAGGGGCCAAGGGAGCAAGCCAGTAAGTAGCGTTCCTCCATGGCCTGTGCTCCAACTCCTGCCTCCAGGTTCCTGCCCTGAGTTCCTACCTCGGGCTCCCTGATGAACTGTGACCTGGGGGATGTAAGACAAATAAACCCTTTCCTCCCCAAGTTGGTAGTGGTCAGAGTACTTTGTCACAGCAATGAAGAACAAACTAGAACAAAAGTGGAAGCAGGAGAATCAAGGACATCCTTTCTATGAGAGCTCTGGACTAGCCTGGGATACATAAGAGCTTGTTATAAGCAAACAGAAAGTCCAGGCTCCTAACAAAACATTGGTCACAGAGCTGATTGGGGGGGGGGGTGCGTGTGAAAGAGCCTGGGAATTCAGAGCATCTTTCCTTTTCCTCAGGCTTCAGGAGGCAATGGGCATTAACCAAAGTGGTAACAAGACCCTTCAACAGAAGCTGCAAGACCTAGTGAGACCCTTGCCTGGTAGCCCTGCCGTTGCCTTGGGTCCCCCTCCCCGCGCCTTACCCACTTGCTCCGGGTCTCATGCAGTCCTGCTGGTCAGCCTCCCACCTCAGGCCCTGCAACCCTTTATTGCAGCCTACCTCACTGTACCAGAACCTGGAAAGAATTCTGACCATTCCGGAGGAAGTAACAGTCACCCAGGAGGAAGCTGAGGATACCCAGGAGGAGGCTGAGGTCACCCAGGAGGAGGGAGGCCCTACTACACTGGCAAAGTTCGCGCTGTTTCTTGGGCAGCAGAAGAGGCCTTCTGCTCAGCCTTCCTCCCTTCAGCCTCCCACACCCTTGCTTGCTACTGCCCTTCCAGGAAGCAGTGGCTCACAGAAACCTCAGTCAGCCCTAGTGGGGCCAGAGGCCTCTCCACCAACCAGCCTCTCTCTAAGCCCCAGCAATAAAAATTGAGTTGCAGCTCTAAGTGTCCATGGGCCTTGGACTTGGACAGGGGTTGGCAGCCATCGTCTCCAAGGTCTCTAGGCCCTCCTCAGTCTCCACAGCCCTGCCCTCAGACTCTTCTTTGTTCCCGTGATAAGTTCTATGGTGGGACAGGATGGGGAGGCCCAGGAAGATCAAGGCTGTAATTTCAAAATACAGAAAGATACTAAGGAGTGAGGAAGAGCCACTTCCCACCTTGTAACCAGGGACAAGTCACCTCCCTTTTATAGGTCAGGGGTAGGCAGCAGAGAAATGACGGGAACTCCCAAGGACCTGTAGAGATGCATCTGTATTTGGGCTGTGACAGATTAAGGGTCATGCCTTGCAGCATGTGTCCAGCCTACAGAGACTCACCATGTCCTGAAATTCCTAAAGTGAGATAAAGTGTGTGTGTGTGTGTGTGTGTGTGTGTGTGTGTGTGTGTGTATAGGCAAGTCATAATTTCCAAAAATGGGCTAGGGAGGAGATGGCTCTGTAAGTAAAGCACTTGTCGCACAAGTGTGAGGACCTGAGTTCAAATCTCCAGAATTGACATAAAAGTGGGATGTATAACATGAGCCTCCATAATCCTGGCTCTGCTAAGGGGCAGTGGGGGAAGATGGGTACAGGAGATGCCCCTACCCCACCCCCCGGGGCCAGCCGACTTGGCATATGCAGTAGAAAACAGACCCTGTCTCAAACAGGGTGGAGAGAGAACCAACACCTGAGGCTGTCCTCTGACATCCACAGGGGTGCTGGTGCCTCATGCACACATCTACATGTATGAATCACCCTCGTACATACGTCCACATACTTACAAGCAATTCTTGCACAACTGGGCCATGCAGCTGCTGCATGTTGCTGCCTTGTACTTCCTTCCAGCTCCGTAAGGCAGAAAGCAGGGAAGGGGCAGGCTCTTCAGGGAGGGATGCACATTCCTGTCACGTGCCGTCAAAGGGGATGGAAAGAAGGAATCCTGAGGCTGAGCGAGGCCCTGGATTCTGTCCCCAGCACCACACCCCTCCACAACTTCTATATAATTTTTTTTTGGTCTTTTTGAGACAGGGTCTCCCTGTAACTTGTATATAATTTTTTGAAAAGGCACAGAAGTCAAAAGGATCGTGACACAGTGAGATGAAGGCCAGCCTGGTCTACACGACAAGTTCCAGGTCAGCTAGAGCTACATAATGAAACCCTGTCTCAACAAAACAAAACAAAAAAACACCCACACACCCACCCAAAAAAGCAACCTCCCCACGACCACAAAAGGAAGACTCCTGAGACTGCTAAATTAACTGCAAAACTGGGTAATACCTTTTAAAAAATTGTGTACGAGTGCACTGCCTGCATGTATATATGTGCACCTGTGTCATGCAATGTCTTCGAAGGTCAGCGGAGTGCATCAGATTCCCCTGGAACCGGAGTTAGGACAGTTATTGGCTACCATGTGGGTGCTAGGGATCAAATCCAGTTCCTCTGCAAGAGCAGCCAGTGCTCTCTACCACCGAGTCATGTCTCCAGCTCCCAAACTAAGGTCTTACAGAACATTTTTTCACTCTTTTTTTTTTTAGAGTAGTAGTACTAGGGTTGAAACCTGGAGCCTGACACATGCTAAGCAAGTGCTCTCCCCTGAGCCACACCCACAGCCCTACAATACAGCAAGTTTTTAATAGCCCATATCCCTGAGGGTGGTCGTGATTATTTACCACCTAACCCATTTTACGTAAATAACCTCTAACTTTGTGGAGCATTGGCCAGAATCTTTGGTAAAGTCAATCAAACTGAATTCCTCACTAATCCTCTGAGAAGGCTAGAGGAGCTAGGAGGCCCTGGAAAGGGCTAGAGGTGGGACCAGGTAACCTTTGTGCTTTAAAAACATTTTTTAGGGGCTGGAGAGATGGCTCAGTGGTTAAGAGCACTGGTTGTTCTTGCAGAAGACCTGGGTTCGAATCCCAGCATCCACATGGCAGTTAACAGGTACTGCATGACACGGGTGCACTTACCTACATGCAGGCAATACATACATACACATAAAATAAAAATAATAAATAAAATTTTTTAAAATTTGTTTTTATTATGTATATGAGTGTTTTGTCTGCATATATGTGAGTGTACCATGTGTATGCAAAACCTATGGAGGCCAGAAGAGGGTGTTGGATCCCCTGGAACTGGAATTACAGACAGTTGTTAGCAGCTATGTGGGTACTGGGAGCTGAATCTTGGTCCTCTGCTAAAGTGGCCAGTGCTCTTAACTGCTGAGCCATTTCTCTAACCCCCAACCTTTTTTATTATTTTAAAGCAGAATGATCCTAGATTTATTTATTTATTTTTATTTATTTGATCCTAGATTTATTAAGTGAAGAAAACTCCTGAGAGTGGAAGGGGTTCCAAAGGAGGGGTGCCCCAGTTTAAGGACTTCTGTCCAGAGTGGGTGTTAGCATGATCAGACTGACTTGCTCACCCTGAAAAGCCTCGGGCCTAAGAACCTGGAAAGCAGGCTCTTGGGCTCCTTAAGGGCCACCAGAAGCTAAGTCTGAGTCCGCAGTCAGCTCTCAACCACAGCAGTGGGTACAAATATCCCCAGTCATGTTGGCCTTGTGACCCAGGGCCTTAGCTTGTGCCATTTTGACCTCAGTTCCTGTGGCCACTTCTATTGACGCTACCAGGCAGTACCAGCCCAGTGCTCAAGTCCAAGACCCTGAGAGCCCTGGAGCTTTATCAAGGCCTTTCAGCTCCCCTGGTGGTCAAAGATTTCAGTGTCTGTCTCACCATGTCCAGTTCTCGAGGCCTCTCTGTCCTCAAGGCCCTGGGCTGCTTGTCACTTCTGTATCCTCTGACGCCATCTCCCAGGAGGCGCAGAGCTGGGTGGTGCTTTTCAGCTTGGAGACTGAAGTAGACAGCTGCAGCTTGCAGGATGCCTAGGCTTGAACCACAGCCACAGACTTTCCCAGCTGTGTGGCCTTGACCTTGCCTATGGCGTTGATCCCCTGCACATCTCAGAGGCTTTTGCAAGGGCTGAAGGAGTCAGTGTGACATCACAGAGTTAGCCCAGTGAATTCTGGTTATTATCTACCCTCCAGTGGCTCTACCCAGGCTTCATGTATTTTAGAGGCCCAGGAGAAGCAGTGTGTGTGTGTCTGTGTATGTGTGTTATATGCATGTTCGTATGTGTACATGTGTGTTCAGGGCCATGTGCACATGTGGATTGCTCTCTACCTTATGTATTGAAGTAAAGTCTTTCATTTGAACCCAGAGTACCTCGATTCAGTTGGTCTGGCTAGCCCCCTTGCTCCGGTGATCCCCTATCTCTGCCTTCTGACTGCTGAATTATATGGGGGCCACCGTGCCTGCCTAGCATTTACTTGGGGATCGGAACTCAATCTTCACTTTTGCATGGCAAGGCCTTGACCCCCTGAGCCACCTCTGCAGCTGGAGAAGCATGTTTTTGTGCTTGAGCTCCCAGCTGACCCCGTGCGCCCACTATGGGCCTGCTACTCCTGCCTCTGAGGTTAGCCAGAGTCTACAGATTCTATAGGCAGGAACTAAAGGGTTTCTAAACGGTTTCTTCTTTTTTCTTTCTTTTCTTGATTTGCTTGCTTGCTTGCTTGGTGTTTGTTTTTATTTTTGTTTTTTTTGAGATAGGGTCTCCCTGTTGCCCCAGCTGACCTGGAATTTGTTATTTAGACCAGGCTGGCCTCAAACTCATAGAGATCTACCTGCCTCTGCTTCCTAAGTGCTGGGATTAAAGGTGTGTGTGCACTGCTACCTACACCTGGCTTTTCTTTTTTTGAGACAGGGTCTCATGTAGCCACGCTGACTGTAAACTCATGATGTAACCTCAGTCTCCCAAGTCCTGGGATTACAGGTTTGGGCTTCAACACCATCATTGCGTTTTCTTTTATTATATTTTATTTTTATTTTACTTGTTTGAGTGTTTGGCCTATATGTATATGAGTGTACCCCCTGCCATGCAATGCCCATGGAGGCCAGAAGGGGGTATTGTATCCCTTGAACTGGAGTTACAGACAGTTGTGAGCTGCCATGGGAAGCAATCCCATCTCTCCAGGTCCCAGCATTGGATTTCCTTGAAGAGTAGTGCTGTCACCAGGCACGGTGGCACACCCCCCAAAACCCCAGTCAACCAAACAAAAAGAGTAGTGCTGTACACCATGAACAGGTATTCTAGGTAGATACAAACTGAAACAGGACGGAGTTTGCAAAAAAAATCACGAGCACCACTTTAAGAAAAGTAGCAAGGTAAATTTTAATTTTCGACCGGCCGGGCTATCTCCGGAGTAGAAGCAGCCCTGATGATTGTCGGGTCAGAGTTTTTAAAGGATTACAGAAATATTATTCAAACAGGACATTTGTGAACCAATCAGGTTTGTACAACATAGCAGAACTTTGAATCTATTAATCAACAACCAATCATACAGACAAGTGATACAGTCATATAACTTGGCAGTCAACTTTGTAATTTTAAAATTAGTCAACTTCCTAGCCATAACAAGTATAGTAAGAAAGCTGGAATCAGCAGTTACCGGTGGTCACACAATAACATGATAACAAGGTGGTCTTATGCCCTGTGTCAAGGTGACCCAGAATAGCAAGCGGATTACAGAAGTGAAAACAAGCTGATTAGCCAGGTGTAAAATGTCTGGAATTAGCACATTCCACGGTTCATGGCTAGGACAATTTCCTAAGACCCAAGGTTGCCCCCGTTTTCCTTTTGGTGTAGAGCAAAATTGCTGCTAAAATGGCTCTGAACAAAATGGAGTGACTCAGGGAAGTTTGCTGAGCCAGTTCACTCCCCACTCCTGTTGTGAGTAAGGTTAATTCTTTGACCTATTAGGTACAGCTTTCTTCATGTACTGGTATTAACTGTTCATATTGGGTTCTTAATATCATGAGTTTTACTGCCTGGAGTCTCTGATTAATAAATTTTACAAGGGCATTCAAAATACAAGGCCCAGGAGTAAAAATTTAAAGAA